TCTGCTTTTTGAATGCACTGAAATCTTAGTGCAACACTTAGGTATTTTGAGAGATGAGGCTGACATCTAGAGGTAGGAAATATATTCACTTTTCTTTCTTGAATTTCTTGTAGCGGAAAGGTCTTTTAGTTGCATGCTTGTGTCATGACCTGGATCACCGAGGTTACAGCAACAGCTATCTTCAGAAATTTGACCACCCTTTAGCTGCTCTCTATTCCACATCAACGATGGAGCAGCACCACTTCTCGCAGACTGTGTCCATCCTGCAGGTAGGATTATTGAAATTGTACCATCTGTGAAGTAGAGTCCACTTGTGGAAATAGGAATCACCTCATTACCCTGTAGATGAAGCATGCCTAATTTAATATCTGTATTGTAGTGCTCATCTAGAACTGAAATATGGGAGAAGTATTTTCTTGGATTTATTACAGCAAGTCTGGTTCCAGAATTGGCAACCAGGTATTCAGAAATAATGCATGTGTCATGAAAATCAGAGGATCTGTCAAAAAATCTTGATGTTGTGAAAAAAATAATTGTTTACTTGAAGGAATATAGAACGTGGCTTTCCTATGGAGCAGATAGCATCTGGATCAGCTCAGGAGTTTTTTTTTTCCTACAATCATATAGTGTAGGAACTTTGTTTTTTTGAGAAGAGAACTCAGCTTCTCCTTTAGTTGCATATTTCCAGCAGAATGTATTTCGAAAGAGTCTTTAATTGTCCTAAAATTCTGAATAAAACCTCAAGAACTGGCAAAAGTTTGCATGGGAAGCTCTAAAACTTGCTGTAATAAATTCCCTGTGCATTAAGTGTGGCATGAAGTGTGCATAAACTCTTTACGTAGGACCAAATGTTAATTTTGCACGCATGAGAAGTTTAAACTGTTTGGATTATGTTGGTACGTGCTTTTCTTGTTCTTCAGCAAATTGAAATAAAATTTTTGAATCTGATAATATTCTATGATAGAGTTCTTAATATAAAGTAATATCTCTCTGTGTTTGTTTAATTCAAAAGTACCAGAAAGCATGCGGTCACTTTTTGGGAAAGTTAATTGTGTTGGGTGACAAACAGCTATTCTTTCATTAGCTGAAATTTATTGTGCTGAAATAGAGTGAAAACTCTCAGCTATGAAGCTGGTTGCCAGTCCATGACATAGTCATGCTCACTGTTTTTATTTTTCGTGCACATTTATGATATGTAGCCTTACCATGCTACTGTGTCACTAACTCTCTCTTTTTTTTTCTTTTTTTTTTCCCCCCCTTTGTCTTTCGGGGATAGATACCTATTTTTTTTTTTGAAATGATGTATATATGATCAGCTTTTAGGAAAAAATGCATGTTCTCTGTTGTATTCAGAAGGCCATCTTACGGTTGTGATTTTAGGTATCATACATTTCTTCAGGGCATGGAATCTTTCTCTCTGAGTGCTCCTCCATATAGGAGGGTATAACTGAATCCTTCGGTGTTGGTATGGCATTAGATTTGCAGCGTTCGTGCTTCGTGTGAATTGCTACACAGCGAGCAAGTTCCTCGGTTGTTAACGCTTTTTTCCCCGACTATGCTACGCGAAGCAGACTTCTGTCATTCCTTAATAATCATTCTGCATTTTTTCCTGCAGAAGTGGTGTAACTGGTGAAAGCCCCATTTGTAGAGGCGGCAGAGAAGCTGTTTGCCTCCCTTCCCACTCCTAGCCTTGGCTGTGAGAGCGAGTGAGGACAGGGAAGTGGCCAGGGCTGCCGAGTGGACACCCACACCGGCTGCCCAGGTACCTGTGGGTGGTCGCTGGCAGCACAAACAGCTCTGAGCAGCCACTTGGGCTTGCAGTCCTTCCTGTGATTCAGAAAGCCTTTCTGCACACTTCCTGGGCTGCTGTCAAAAGAGCTTTCAGGATTTGTTGCAATGAGTGTTTATTTTGTTACTAACCTGTAGTGCTATTGGTTGAACCTTTATAGGTGCTTTTGTCACCCACTGGCAGTTCACATGCATACCATGGGTTATCCTTAGCGCAGCAGGGAGAAGTAAAATGTTAACAGTCATACATTTCATCTAGTACTTAAAAGCCTCAAAGGCACGCTCAGAAATGGCATCTTCGATTAGGACTTCACTAAAAGCATTAGCTGATTTCTAGTGGTGTGAACAGAAGCCATTGCAGCCAGTGTGGTCTTCCTAATATTGCAGATTTTAAAGCCAAAAAGGGACAGCTCCAAATCTCATTTAATTTAAATACCTTGGCAAACAGCATGCTGTTTTATTAATTGAAGGGCTGGGGGAGAGAAGGCTCTCAAAAAACAAATTCTGAAAACTAGTAGTAGTCAGTTCCTAGTCTCAGAGTGTTGATGGTTTAAAACGTTTTTTGTTGTTGTTGTTTTGTTTTGCCTTTTTTTGTGCATCATATATTGTGACTTAAGAGGCTGCCAAAGGAACATTGAAGCAGGGATGGATTGTATTGTTTATTCATTACTCACAATAAGTCTACTTGCCCAAGTAAAAATGTTGGAAAAACGACATTTGCATTCCGGATGATAAGAGAAGCCAAGTCTATTCCTAGCACGGAGGAATTCTTTTGAAGAAATTATGTAAATGTTTGACAAAAGTCAGGAAAACTTCTGATGAGCTTCAACCCAAATGCCATTTAAAAGTCAAAACACATCTGCATTTCATATATTTTAATAATATTTTCTGTTTGTGAATATGCACACCTTGACATGGCTGGCTGGCTCATTCTTTTTTGCTTTTTCCCCTCTCTTTCCTCTAAACAGTACGAAGACTTCTGACAGGTTGTTTTCACGAGCTTAGAGTCAGTGAATAGTGTTGACTTTTAAAAATGTGATACAGCTTCATGAGCAATCACAGTACACGGATATTGTCAGTTAAATGCACAATTGTACGTAGTGGGAATTGAAAGGGGTGACAGGGGCATGTTGCCAGAGCCTCCATAGCAGAAAACATTGTCTTTAGTTCATGAGTCAGTCAACTCACAGTTAAACAAAGCTGTTTTTTCCCCTAAATGTTCATATGTAGGAAAGTACTGTAATTAGCTTTATTTCTAGAAAGAAAATTGTATCAGAGAGAACAGCAATTGCAGGCACATTTCATTTGGAACACTGTATCATAACTTAATTACTTTAGTACTGTAACTTGGATATCTCTTTATCTCTGTTATGTGTTATACAATATCAGAAGTTCTTCAGAGTGAATCAGACACTCACTTTACCAGCTTGGCAACGCTGTAATCTGCATCAGGATTAAGTCACAAGTTCCCAAGCTAATGCTGTCTGAAAGTGATGTGCACGTAGTGCTTATAAATCATAGTAGGAAAAGCTAGCATTATTCTTTACAGTATGTTCTTTCTGAAGGCTGAAAGGATTACTAAAGGAAGCAATCCCCCAAACAAACCAATGGTTTCATGACAGTATTTAAAAAGGAGGGATAAAAAAGTGCATTTTGGGCTGTCTGTGTTTGAACTTGTAAAACTGTTGTAATCTGTCTGGTGAAGTAAAGACTGAAATCATCTCAGAATTAGAGCTTGTGCTTTTTATTGGTTTTTTACTTTTTCATAGCTGGAAGGGCACAATGTCTTCTCCAATCTGAGCTCCAGTGAATATGAGCAAGTCCTCGAGATCATCCGGAAAGCCATCATTGCCACAGACCTTGCCCTGTATTTTGGAAACAGAAAACAGCTTGAAGAGCTGCATCAGACAGGAGCATTAAACCTTAAGAACCAAGCACATAGGTAAAGCAATAATCTACTATTAGTTCTTCAGGCTATTTGTCCTAGAAAGTAAAAAACAAAGCCTCAAAACTTATTTTTTGCAGAAGAATTCCAATTAAAATAACGATATCTTCTATGTACATAGTAATTGTGTTACATATAGACTTTCCAAGACTATCTATGTGTAAAATGCCAAGTATATAGTAGTAATAAACAGTGTTTTATATTTGCACACCGTTGTCTTCAGATTTCGTTTGCCTGTTTCCCTGGAAGTGCATCTAGGCAGAAAAGTTAGATGATGAGGGAAAAAAGTAAAATGCAGTAATTCTTTTTCAATATTTTTATTCTATATTTTTATTATTCCCTGAACATGCTTTTTTGAAATATTAATAGTGGAAGTCATTTCATGTCATCTACAGAAGTAGTCATTTTCTAATTTCTTTATCACAAGATCAAATTCTAATTGTTTGAAAACAACAATACTTTTTGTGATACAAGCACAAGAGTTATAAGTTACTCCCAAGACATCATTTTTTCCTTGAAATCAGTACTTGTCTGGAGTACTGTCAGAGATATGTCTCCTAACAATATTCATTAGAGCACTTGTGCAGTTCTACCATACTCCTCTCCTCTCCTCTTGACTGGAAAGTGGATCCTGTCTTTGCCATAGTGCACATAGAAATCAGAGAGGTAGGGAAGTATTGAGTCATGAATCTGATTTCTCCAAAGGGTACTTTGGTACTAGGATCTTCTTTACTTTTCTGAGGAGTTTTACCAGGTTCTGGTGTTGAATAAATTATCACAGTACTGTGCAAAGGGTTGTTACTAGAAGCTTATTTCATGGTAGGAAGTCAGTTCTATACTGATTTATTAGAATTGAATGAGCCTTAAAATCTTAAAGAGACAAAATTACAGTAGAAAAAGTGGGGAAAAAAGTGGGAAAAGAAAGTGGAGGAAAAAATAGCAGTTACTTGTAAATGAAGTTCTTTAATATAGACTCAAAACTGGATTTTGCTGGTTTTGGTGTACATATATTCATCTCTTTAAACAGAGGAACGGAATGCAGCAACAGGATATTCCAGCCACCTTGTTGATTTGAGCTTTATTTTTAGGAAATCAAGGAGGGGTACAGAAGCATTTTAACAGGTGTTCTTGTATACCTTCCTATGATTGTAATTGTGTAAAGGCTGGTTGATGAGCTCCAGTTTCAGATAATACAGTAATACAGCAAATAATAGGGTGATTTAAGTGATGCCTTACTAATAAATCTTAAACAGATAGGAAAGGAAAAAGTAAGGTAGGAGATCTTCTATAACATTTCCACTTTACAGCTGATTGTACTGAGGAAGGGCAAATAAAAACTTGAGAATATGATAATTAATTTTTTACCAACTTAAAATGTAATACTATTTTATTTTAGGGATCGAGTTATTGGTCTGATGATGACTGCTTGTGATTTGTGTTCTGTAACAAAGTTGTGGCCAGTTACCAGGCTGACAGCCAACGATATATATGCTGAGTTCTGGGCCGAGGTAGGTGCATTTGTTCTATTTACTGTTTTCTTTACAAGTTGGAAGTATCCGGGAAGAGGAAAAACACTGATAGAACAATTTGCAAAAGTGCCTTATTATGTTTGTTTTGAAGACTTCATTGGTACATGCTCAATTGCTTTGAAGTTTGTCAAAGAGTCAAGTTGGCTTCTTGATTTGCAGGCAGTGTTTTTTCTGCATGCTAAAGAGAGTTTTAGAAAGTATGTCCTCATGTATGGTGACCAAGCAATAGAATATATAAGAATCTGTAGGATTTTTTTTTTTTGAGTCAGTAACAGTAATTTTGTGAAAGAGCTATTTGTATTCTAGAAATGCAAACCGTGAAAGCAGCTTCCAGGCAGCTGCCTTAAAACACATACTTCTGAAGCTGCAGTACGAGTTGAAGAAATGCTAAAGCAAATATGACGAATATTAAAATTGTTCAGATCCCAGGTTTTGAGTCTTTTTTGTAAACCAGCTCGGCAACTGGATCCTAAAGAGAGATAGTTGATCTTTAAATGTACTGAGAGTTACTACACAGATAAGTTATCCAAACATGGCATTGAGCTGTGCTGTGTGATCATGTTCAGAAGTAAAGGTGCAATCTCTTATATATCCTGTGCTGAGGAATAAGTGCACTATTTGTACAGTTTGGAAGATGACAGGAAGACTGTGGATATAGGAATAAATTCCTGTTGCAAAGAGTTGAATTCTGCAGTTTCAGAACATATGTAGTATTTTGAGAACTGGTATTGCATATATGTGTGTGTAAGTTGTGGTTTCTCCTTTTTATGAACCTTGTGGAAGCCTGCACAATTCAGTGGACTGACTTCTGACTTACATAGGTGTAAAATTGAAATGAGGCCTGCAGAATTGATGTAGCATGCATATAACATGCATATTTGTCCTACCTGTTACATGTTTTTTAGGAAAGTCAAAATGTGCATGGCTTGTGTGGTTTGTTTATGCTTGTTGCATTTAAATGTTCCTGTATGCTTAATTATGAACAGCTCAGAAAACAATAAAATGTTTGAAAAATTCAAACTTTATAAACCCAAATATATAGTTCAGTCATTGTTTTAAAAATGTCAGCACTGAAAAGTGAGTGATTTTACAAATAATGTGAAGGAGGTACAATATTAACATGCCTCAGTGATTACATACTCATTTTTTTGCAAAAAGAATTTGTTTGTTTTTAACTGCCAGTCCTGTGAACTCAGTGTATAAGGAAGGATCAAGTTGATTTTTTTTTCTCTAATTTCAGCAACAGTAAAGATAGAATTACAGGCGGTATTAAGTGCCCAAATCTTAAATTGTTTTGTAATTCAAGGATGAGATAATGGTGGTAATTCTTATAAAACATTAATACTTGATGTAGCAAATTTACATTAGAAATTATTGTCTGAAATTGAAATCTGTATTCAGTTTTTTACCGAATCTCTTTTAAGAAAAGGTAATCTGACAGATGTCAATAGTTGGATTTGTTGTAGTGCAGTCAAGATATCTGGCAAATCTAACCATAAATGTGAGTGCTTCTCTAAAACAGAAAACTGGGCAGTTATTGAGAAAATCTTAGTTGGGGAAAAAAGGTAAACTCTAGAAAAAGATTAATTTTGATGAGATTGAATGTGTGTATACAGTTCTAAATAAAGGGGGAAAAAGCTGCAGAGGAAGTTTTTGAATGCAGCGCTTTGTCATACATCACACTGGCTCTTTTTCTTCATTGATTGAAGCCTAGTATTTCCAACAAAGTTCTCCCTCTTGATATCACTTAATCATGAAGCTTTCCCACAGTGCCACAAATTGAGCAAAATAGTACATTTACTGAGGGATTATATAGGATTACAGGTGTATATATATTTCCCACAGTGCCACAAATTGAGCAAAACAGTACATTTACTGATGGATTATATAGGATTACAGGTATATTACAGTTTGTCAGTCGTAATGTAACTAGGTAGTTGTTGGAAACCCTTTATGTGGTATTTTTTGAAGAGTTTTATAAGCCACTCCATTTCTGTACCTGTACTCCAGGTACAGTGATCCAAACTTCTTGGTTTAGAATTCCAACTTTCACTTGCTTTTATATAATGGTCATCAGCTGTGGGAATAAAGACAATATATATATATTTTACAGCACACCTAGTCTAGTAATGCTTCACAGCATGCTGGCACATACCTTTAAAGGTAAAGTGACAAATGTAATTCTGACCTTTGTTCAGTTTTGCGTAATTGATCAGAGCCTGGACAGCTTCCTTGATGCTTCCAGTGTTTCCAGACATTTCATGCTATGTTAACTAGTGAGTTTAAAATTATATGAATTAAATATTCATTATTTAATGAATGTTGAGAGTCTGATCACTGAGGCTGTGACTGATCACTGAGACTGACTGCAGACAGTCTTACTCAATAAACAGCACTACTTTAGTCTAATGGGAGAATAAATTAAAGTTTACTTACAGGAGGCACATGAAATTGTTTACAGTTCATTAATAGCAATCCACTCAATTTCTGTCCTGGAAGTTCTTAACAGATTTCTTTTTAACAGCTAGTAAAGGAGACCTTTCTTCTTGCTTCTTTGAAAATAAAAAGCATGGCAAGCTAAACAGTGCATATGCAGTGATTCTAACCTTGCTAACTATTTCATGAGGCAAATAAGCGACATGAGAAACCAACGCAAACAAACATGAATTCTGACATGACTTTGTGATTGCATCTCTTGTTGGTTAACCACAGCAGGACCATAGAAATAGGGGATGTCGAGGCCAAATGTGCAGGAAGGAATCAACTTCAGGAAGCCTTCATCTTTTCTGACCTCAAGGTAGTTTTGAAGCTGACAAATAGAAAGACAATCATTAACTACACAACTCACAGCAGAATTAATTTATTATATTGCAAACTTAAGGTGCCAAAATGCTTCTTTGGAAGAGAGCATTGGCACTTGGAATTTTACTTGATATAAACTCACAAGAAAGATGTGATAAATTTGTGTTCTGGAGGCACCTTCACTGACTGTAAAGGAAACCTGGAAAACTGGCTTAGACAACTGTGTCTCCCTCCTTTTTCTTAGGGTGATGAAATGAAGAAAACAGGTATTCAACCTATTCCTATGATGGACAGAGACAAGAAGGATGAAGTCCCTCAGGGTCAGGTAGGAACTCTCTTTGTGAAATGATACGTGTTTTATAATGTTAATAAAATGTGCATATAAAACTTTCTTATATATTACATATATTGTTGACTGTTGCATTTGATGTTAGGATATGTGTGTGCCCTGCTGAATTCTTTTCTCAGCCTGCAAATCACAGCCAATCTTTTTAAGTATCAGGAGAAAAGCTCTTTTTAAAAGACATTGCAGCAACTACTGCTGCCTTGAAATACTGTATGACATAGCTCTGCTCCCTGTAACAGAATAAGACTGTGATTCTGTGAAGACTTCAGGACTGGCTTTAACATGATAAAGTATTTCCAGTATGAGAACATCGTGTAGTTTCAATAAGAAGAATGAATCTCGCTAGACTTGATGCTGATAATATGCTAGTGCTTTTATGTTCTCGTAATTTCCAGTAGAACCACTTATATCTTATTACTATTCTTTACTATTACTTACTCTCTTCCTCTGAAACAAATAATCCTGTGCAGTGGTGACAGGCTTTTAGCATAGTTTTTTGTTCTTTTATTTTTGTATGGTAAATGTTTGGATATGTAAAGCCATAAGATGTGTAAGAGAGAACTGCCTATTGAGCATTATTGTGGAATATATATGTTTTGGAAAAGTTTTAAGGCATAGCTAAAATAATGTTAGTCAAGTACTGTGCAAAAATGCAAGAAAAGCCATCTCAGAGCTGTAGCTGCATAGAGAACCTCACCCATCAGTCCTCTGAATTGTGATTGACAGATTTTTTTGCAGGTCTCATGAAGTAGGTCTGCCAGGAATAATATTTAGAGTATCCTAATATAAGTGCAATGAAAGTTACCTATTTCATTCCTCAAACTTGTATCTCTAGCCAAAATCAGTCATGCAATTTTGAGAAGTGGCATTAACACTTTTTCTACTTAGTAAGTGACTACTTCCACTCCTAAATAAGTGTTCTGTTTTGTCCTGATTGCAAACTAAACTGCAGGTTTTCTTTTGCACAATGGTGCAGCAACATATGCAGCAATCAGTGCTGTTTTCTGCTTTTCCTAGGAAAGAATGGTGTTTCGTAAATGTAAATTCAAGAAGAAAAAGGTCTTCAAATTAACTTTTTTGATTTAAAAAACCCTAATTAACTCTTCTTCTCACTATCAGGACAAAAAGTAAATTCAAATTGCCCATTGTCTACTTATTTACTACATACATACCTACATATCTATATATATGTGTGTGTGTGTGTGTGTGTGTGTAAGACATTTTTGCTTTCAGTGCCCTTGAAACATAAAATGGCAAAAGCATTTCAGTCACTCTTAAATGAAAGAAATGGGAACAAAGTACCAAAAATCTTTATAGATTAAACAATTGGTTTGAAGGAGACTATAGAAATGTTTATGTTCTAGAACACCTTAGTCATAGTATGCTATATCACTTTTTTAGCATAAAATTAATCTCTCTTACAAGGAATTATCAATACATTTATTGGATTTATACATCTAGTACGAACCTAACAAGAGAAGAAACTTTTTTTTTTTTCTGCAATTGTCTGAATTTTTCCACAAGTTGTTTTAGTTACCTTTGAACATCTTCAAAAGTACACAGTCAGCATCCTGGCATTTGTGAAAGAATTGTTAATGGGGTGAAAGCACAGATGTAAGAAATAGACCTTCTCTAAACCCTACTGAGCACTGCTGGAATTGCTCTTCTCATCAGGTGGTTCTTCACTTTGTTCTGTGTTCTGTGCTTCTAAATAGTGTTTCAGTAAAATATTAAGAGAAGTAGGAGGGGAAAAAGACAATTTTAGGAGTCTAGTTTTAGAAGTGATATCTCACAACAGTGTTACGGCAAAATGTGAGATTTAGAGCATGTGTAGTTCTGTGAAAGTAACTTTTCTGTGGATATGGAAGAATTCAATGAAGTATTATCATGGATTTCCTTGGGCTCAAACAAAAAGTATTTTGGGGCTTGGAATCCTCTCTTTCTATGTGGATTTTAATTGCAGCATTAATACTTTATTTAGCAGTGGTACTTGGGAAATGAGGAAATATATATATAAATATAATGTCTGGGGAAAAAGAAAACAGCCTGCCTCTGTGATAATCTTTGTTAATAGTGTGTGCTTAGCTCTTCCTCTTGCCTGGTAGTTGGATCGGTTTGGCTCTGTAGTGACTGGCAGCCTCAGCAGTGCAACATTTAAGTCTCTGAATTTGGTAATGATGCCATTAGTTTCTTTTCTGCCTCTCCTTGGAGAAGTTGAGCAGTTTGCAATTGCCCTGTGAGAGGAGGGAGTGCTCCAAGAGAGTTTTCTGCCTTAGCCTCCATTGGGGCCACAAAGGCCTCTCCCCTTCACAGGCTAAAAACTTTGGAACTTGTGAAGAAAATCCAAGCGCCAGAATTAGGCGGTGACCTGAAAGACCATTTGCTAAACAAGTCAAGCCAGCCTGAGCGATGAAGGAGAGAGGAGAAACACATGCTGTCATGTTCACTCACAGCTTCTTTCAGGAATAGTTTTCTGGTTGAAAATGAAAAGGTTTCTCATGGGCAGCGAGGACTGCAATGATCTAAGTAATTTCTTGTTTAAAATGTTACTGTCTGAAAAGTAAAGATCCTCTTTCAAAACTAATTAGTTCTAGGATGCACAATTGAAAAGACAGTAGCAATTTCTTTCAGAAATCCTAGTTATTTTTTCGAATGCTTCTTAGAATATATGTATAATGCCTCTTCTGCAGTGACTTCAATTTATTCCTTGCATCTGAGTGGGCTCTAAGCTGTATACTTGGGTGTACAGTACTTTCTGTCTGACCTCAGCAATATAAAACTTAATCTGGAATCATTTATCTAGCTAATCTAAGCATTTTACAGAAGGCGTGTGTGTAAGTTTATTTTTGTTCAAAAATGCAAACTACTTTAAAAGGTAGTTTTTTAATTTGCTTAGTTTTATTCAAATCCATTGAGCTTTTTTTTTTTCTGATAGCTTGATACTCATTTTAACTTAAAAGTTTTCAGGATCTGAAGGAACACAATTTATTAAAAAATTCTTGAAAATATTGAGGTTCCAAAAAGAAGGATATTTGGAATATGAATTTAGTCTTGTCAAAATCTTTTTGTGTTTTGCTAAACATCACACTTCTAGACTGAACAGGAAAGTCTACAGTGGGACTGTACCTAGCATCCCCTTTGTAATTTATGATAGATATGCAGCACTGTGCTGTTTTACTGTGAAATAAAATAGCCCGTTTAACAAACAACACATAGGATGAAAATTAAACTCTGTGCAAAAGAGGGTTGTTGGTTGGTTGGTTTTCTTATAGGCAAACATCTCTCCTGATTGTCTCATGTCCCTCTATAATTCCTATAGTTGCATCATGCTTACTTTAGCTCAGATTGTTGGCTTCGCGGGTCAGAAACTTTATCTTATTTTTTTGATGTGCAAAATCTTTTCATAGCAGTGTGGAAACAGTATTAAAGAGGTGAGAGCAAGAGTTATTCTCCGTTTTCTGTCAGATGTTGAAAAAAAGACTTTCATAAAGAGGTGAGAGCAAGAGTTATTCTCTGTTTTCTGAATAAGTTCAGATGTTGAAAAAGAGACTTTCTTCAAAGCCTTTGATCAACACAATTTCAATAAGATAATAAAACTCTGTCTGAAGAAATGGACTGTGGGCTTACATGTCCAATGGAAATGGACTTATCTGACTATCATGAGAGTTTAGCATAAACAAGCAGTGTATTACAGGTCTGAATTTAAGCTGTCATCCTTGCTTATATTTAAGTGATATTTTTTTTAAATTCCTTCCTGTGACATGACAGTTTAGCTGTTAACGTGGTAGCCATCATAGAAACCTTGGGCTAGGTTAATCAGTCCTGTTCCATCATGAGAGGGACACTTCAGCTTGTAATTGGCAGAGACTTCGCCGTTTGCGGTTCGTTTGAATGTATTCAAATATTAAGATGATGTGCAGAAGTACAAAATACTAACATAAATAGTAATCAAATAAATAATCAACTAGCTTTTATCTAGTAAGCTATTAGCTGTCAGCACTGGACTTTGGCTTTAGTTAACTGCCTTGTCTCACTGCTGTTTTTCACAGATCGGATTCTACAATGCTGTAGCCATTCCATGTTACACCACGCTTGCACAGATCTTTCCCCCAACTGGGCCACTGCTTCGAGCATGCAGGTGAGTAAATGTGTGGGGTTTTGCCTAGCGTGTAGCTCAGTTAAGGAAATAAGAAACCCCTTAGAAGTCTATGTGGAACTATAGACCTTTAATTTTAGAATTTGTGTGCAGACAGATACACATCCCATTGTTAATCTATCCAGAAAGGCTAAAGGTGATAACTACTGTCTGGGACTACCCTACATAGCTTGAGAGACACAGCTAATGTGTTCGATGCCAAAAGCATTCGGAGAGAAACAGGTTCAATTATTATGTATTCCTGTGTTGGCTGGTTCCATGCAATTTCCCTCTCTATCCTTTTTACCTCAATCTTAGCTGTGAGAACAGTCAAAAAACAAGAATTCTCACAAAAAAAAACCCAAAATTCTCACAGCTAAGTTTGGCTGGAAAACAAGAATTCCATTTCATTTAAAAAAAATGCTGTGGTTTTGGCATGTAGTTTTATTTCATGCCAGAACATTCATATTAAAAGGCAGAGAAAGAAAGAGAGCCTCAATCTATGTGCCTAATAATGAGGCACATAAGAGTAGTATCACTGCAATATGTGACAGGGAAATGAAATTTTGTCCTTTGAAATCCCTAAGAAGGTAGCTTGAGATCTTCTGCAGGAGAGAAGTGAGTCACCTTAACCAATTGGGTGCTTCTACCTGGGAATGATGCTGAATCTCTTTGTAGTTAGCTCTGACCAATAGTTACATCCTGCAGGTTAGCAGTGCTGTCAAGCAAAACGTCTACTGAAACCAGTCAGCTTCATTAAAAAGATTCAGGTTAATCAGTATTCTATTTCTAAGGAAAAACAGTTGGTTGGTAAATGCTAGCAATCTTCAGTCATATCTAGGGAGTGATTAAGAGAGCTGTTTACCCATGTTCTTACCAACACAGCTCTCTCTCTCTCTCCCTTTTTACTTTTTTTCTTTTCTTTTTTTCCACCTCCTGTCTGTTTTGGCCTTAAATAGTTCTGTCTTGCATTGTGGTTTTTCTTTATCCTGTATGGCAGCTCCATATACTCTGTTCCTTTCCTGACCTTTTGGGGTAAAAGAACTGTATGAAATAGCAGAAGGATGCCCACTGTACACAAACACTGCAAAGTTTTGAATTTTGCTTAGTTTCTGGACAATGCTAGGATGTAAACTACTTCTCACATATAACAACTCACAGTTTGTCCCTCCAGCCTAATCTCTCTTTTTCTTCCTGCCTAAACAAGAAAACATTGTGTCCCTCTCAGATAATTTTTTTTTTTAATTCTAAGAAATCCAGTGTGTCCTTGTCCTCTGCTCTTCTGCATATTGAGGTGAGGCCATCAATCGCTGGATCGTTGTCCAGCCCTACTTTAGTTCCACCAGGTGGTCTTCTCTCGCTTGACTTTTTTTTTTTTTATGCATTTGAGGAAATGTCACTTGAATATCTTAAAACAAGTCTGGGTATATAGCTATAGGAGATACAATAGATAAGAGGTATGGGTTCAATGCGTAGTTAGTGTGGTAAAGTTCCCAAGGCCTGTCTTTTCTTCCAGGCAGTCAGGCTCAATGATCCTTGTAGCAATATCTTGTGTTCTGAGAAATTCTGAAAATAACAACGTCCAGTAAGCAATAAGCAATAATTTGTTATCCTAAACTGAATAATGTGGAAGTATTCCTAAGTACCTGTTTCAATGGTTCCAGCAGTTACAGTGTAGCGTTAAGCTCTTCTCTAGTTTCAAAATGCTGCACAATATTATCATAATGATAACAAATCCAAATCCTGTTTTGGAATTCAGAGTTACAGTCCTGGGTAGGAATGTGTACTCCCTGAGCCATGCTGACCTAATACATACTTGTTGATAGTTTGATTATAGATAATTGGATAATGTGTACTCTGACAAATAAAGAAAATTTGCTTGCAGTGCCAAATCTGAGAACACGAAGTGAACGATAGAACTGCTTATAAACCTTTTGATCTTTACAAGGCCATGAATCATCCAACTGCTTAACAAGGAGGTAGTCTGAGGTCTTGAAAGTGCTCCAACTGCCATATTTGTAATCCTTGCTTGAAGGCATGCTGCTAAATGGTCTTCAGATGTAGTGATGGCTGAAAGCAAAATTCTGGTTAATTGGTCCATATAACTGGAACACTGGTTGTGCATTGCCTAACCACATTTTCATTCAGAAGTAGTTTCATGCTAAATATATAAAACAGCCTCATCTGTAATACCAAGCATTAGAAGGACATCATTAGTGTTTCCAGTTACTTGTATCTATTTAAGCTAATGAATTCTACCAAACTGCTATAAATATGAGACAATATTGAATCTTTTGTATTAAATATTTGTACACATCTGGGTGTCCCTTCACTCCTAAAATCAGCTTCTTTATGATTTTAATATAAAACTGTCTTGCAGAGTCTATATGATAAATGATGTACGTCAGTAAAGTTCTGTTACTAGGACAATCATATAAGGGGTCTAAAAATGGTTTTGCACTTCCTTTGGAAGTGTTTCCATAAGCCTGCCTGTATCTTTGGTGAGTTGAGCACTGTTTTTCCCTTAATGGGGACTGAGGCTCAGAGAGCTTCAGCTGGATGCTTAAGGCTACACAACATGTTTTTCAAGACCAGGGTTCTAGAAGACCTGTGTCTTTTGATTTCTAGTCACATACCCAAATGAGGCTCATTTTCAAAAGGATCTTGTAAACCTGCTCCCCACTCAACTAAGGAGATGGAAAGTTGGTTTATAGGATACTAAGAACCCACGTACATATGTGCTCTTCATGGAAGGTGCATTATAATTCTGATGAGCATCTTTTCAAAAGAGCAGGTTTCTCTGCAAAGGGTGGGATGTCTGAGTGGAGAGAGAAAAAAAAAAGGCAGTGAGGCTACTAGTAAAGATTATATATATTTTTTTCTGTTCTCTGAATTATGCTTATTGTTTGAAATTGCAGATATTATACTTCTGAAAGCTGCTTTGGTGTAACCTGAACTGGGCACAGTTCTGTGTGGTCACAGCCTTAGCTACATCTCCCTACCTTGCTCTTGTGTATTCCCTACATTTAGATTGCAGTGATCAGAATTGGTGCATATGTGTGTGGATGGATGTTTAAGATATCCCTAAGTCTGAAGAGCTTCCTGATAAAACTATGCCCTCATGTAAGGTCCTCTGATTTGCAGTTTCATAGTTTAACAGCTCTGCATTGAAATTACCTTTTGCAGATCTGCCTGAAACTGTCTGCTAGAGCAAGTTGAGAAGTGTTGAAAGTTGTGTTCAGATTTGGAGATACTGACTTAGAAGTTCCAAGAGCACAGATCTAACTTCCTATCCCTAATTATCAAAATATCTGTGTTTTGTACTGTTTGGGTTATTCCACAGTGTTTCAAATAGTTGAGCTACATGAGTTTTTTGGAGGGGTAAATGGTAATCTGTGTAATGAGAGACATTCAACCTCATGCCTGTTTGATATTGCCTCAGCTACTGACTGGACTGATTTTGATATCAGCCCTACAACAGTAGTGCTCATTCTTGGAACACAGTGTTAAGCTGCCACGTCCTTGAGTTGTTTGGAATGCAGACACCAGCTGCAAATAATAGCAACAGAAGCAGCCAGGGCAGCATGTCAGCATCCAGGTTTTTATTCTGAGAATCCCTGGGTATTTATTCCAGACACTTAGGAGCCAGGGCTTTATTGGAAGCTCAAAGGCAAATGAGTCGTATCATTTGTACCTTAAAGAAAAGGTAAAGAGTATTGGTCACTGATTTCCATTAAGTAAGGTAGTAATTTATTCTACATTCTAAAGCACTCTACAAAGTACATATTTTCTTATTGCGATAATTTTTCAATATATTACATATTTTTTGTAGACCAAAACTATCATCCACCTGTGTAATTGTGACTGGAATAAGTTGTGTAGGTGTTTTGGAGCCTATGAATTAAGAAGGCATACCAAAGTGGCAGATCTATCCTGGGAGTAAGAGAAAGGACTTTTTTTTTGTTGGTGTTGTGCACATCAAATATTAAACAATTTGCCATGTATTTTCAGGTTTCTGAATTCTTGGTGAAATGGTTACAATTTAACAGTATTTTGGCTGCAATTCTCCTTGTTATTTTCCCAGTTTCTGGGAAGTGACCTAGGAATAGTAACAGTTTCTAATCCTCAGTGCCTGGTTGTATGAGCTGAGACTCAGTGCCATATTAGCTCTGACCATATTAACAGGACTCCGGTTGGCCTGGAGCACTGGCAGAAAAAAATTCCATCTGCCTTCAACAAATGATGTAGATGTTCCCCTAGAGGGCACCAGCTTCCTTTAGTAGACTCCATCAAATCCTTCCTTCCCCCATCCCTAGAAATAACAACATTTTCTCTTCTTACATGTTGCTTGTGCTTCCAGCTTATTTATTTGCTGTGTTTTATCAACTGTTTCAGCAAAGCTGTGATACATAAATCAAGAGAGCTCTGCCACATAAATTCAGATGTAATACGACACATAGCCTGTAAGGCCATAGTCATTTTACCACCCTGTTTGTTTTAAGACACCAAAGAATTATTTTAGTGGCCACTAGGTATTTGATTGTATGAAATTTAAACTGTTGAACTTGCTCACTTTCTCTCTGTGTTTGAAAGCTGAATGCTAGATTTGGGCCGTATGTTGTTGTATGTCCACAACTATATATCAACAACATAAATCTCCAAGTCACTGGAGTGATATGACTATGCAGCAAGTATGATTATGGATCTGTATTCCCATCAGATCATTATAGTGCTATCAGCTCAATGTTTTATGGCTTATGAACCAAAATTTGGATTTAAGTGTTGGTCATCCTGGAAGACTGGAAATTTTTTATCTTCAGGAAAGGGTAGTTTTTTGTTGTAGTAGATTTATCATGAGATCACCACATTAGTATCGGAACACTGATGTTGGCATGCAGCTTTTTATATAGTATCAGCCAGCTCATGTGCAGAAGTCTGAGAAGGCTTTATGCATTTCTGTGGTTTCCAATGAAGGAGATTTCCTGCAGAATTACTGGTGATTTTGGAAAGGGCCAAATAATCCAGTTGTAAAATGCTTGCAGTTCTATGTGAGGAAGGCAGCTCCTGTCTAGACTGCGCTTTCATATTCTCTGCAGACATGGCTCTTGAGTCAGGGTATGGTTTTCTGTGCAACCATGAAGGCTACAAACATTTCTAATGGTTCTAGACTCCTGCTCCAGCAGTGGCTTGTTCTGAGGCACGTACGCCATAGATGTATATATAGCAAGCATGTGCGTGAGCCAGCAAGAATTACAAAAGGCGACAGCTGCAAGGTAAAAGATTCAATAATACAGTGATGATAAAAGCCTGATTACATACCAGTGTTCATTTGCAGCATAAAGGTACATCTTCAGCAGTCTAGTACAGCTGACAATGCTATTAGAAGAAATCCCAGTCAGTTTAGGAACAGTGCCTTAACTCTTGGCCTCTTCTTGCATTCACAGGGACAATCTCAACCAATGGGAGAAAGTGACAAGAGGAGAGGAGGCTTCTATATGGATTCCCTCGCAGTCCCTTGCTCCTGGGACCTCCGATTCCCTTCCCGTGAAGATTGATGACTGAACGGCAGCAAGAGATTGCTTTAACCCTACAAGCATCCCTTCCTTGTTTTGGGGGTTGTTTCTTTTTGTTCCATTTTGTTTTTATTTGAAGAAGGAAAACGAAGAGCTACCAGTGCGAACTAGGACGCAGACCCGCCCAGGAAGGTGGCGCCCTCGGGGTTACCTCAGCTCATGACTCTGGCAGCCAATCTCCTCCCCTACCCCAGTGACACGGCACGGACACAGGGAGAGCGACAGCCGGGCGCTTTGGGATCAGCTAGTGAGAGACAGCTTCCAGCCTGGGAATATAAGACTGGCCTTCTCTCATGGCCTACAATGCTGAGGCCTTAATTTCAAACTGATGGGGGAAACAATCTTAGGGGGTACTTCTAAATTGTATCTTTCTAGTAAGGGTTTCAATGGTACTTTTATTATACTGTACTGTGGCTGGCTTTAACACCAGGGTCACTTGGGAGTTCTTGACTATAAATAGAACAATATACCCATTGCTATTGTGAATGTTTGTGTGATCTACTTGTAATCAGTTTGAGCTCTAGCAGAATCCCCGAAACTGTACTTCTTGTTTAGGTTACAGTGACTTCTCTTGCTGTAAACTAAAGGAAAACCAACGTTCAGGTTAAAGTTCTTCATTAAGCACCATGATACAACTTGTCACTTGCAAGGTAAATGTTGCAAGAGCTAGTGATAAGGTTTTGTTCATCAGAGAGATTTAGAAGCCCAGACAACTCCTCCCTTTAAACACTGGAAGTGCTGGATATTTATCTCCAGCAAGGAGAGATATAGGAATAGTTTCAGGCTGGAGTTTTTATATCTGAAGTGACAGAAGTATCAGTCTAAAATATGAATGTGACAGCAAAGATTTTCCTGCCTAACTCACTGATAAGTAAAGTCATCGTGTTTATTTCTACCTGCTGAGTTGTATTTTAAAAGGTATTAAGAGACATACCTAAAGTATGTTATCTGCTGGGGACAGGAGCCATGTTAGAAAAGTCAGGTCTAATAAGGAGGACTGTGGAACCATCACAATAAATCAGAAATGTTTTTGTGCTGACTAGCTTTTGTGTTGCACAGTAACACTGCATGCCTTCTACTACTTCTCCCCTTAAAGAACTTCTCCTTTCTCCCTATTTTTTTTCCCTCGTTGAGAAAAATATTCAGGCTCAGAACTGCCTTTTTCAGTGAAAAAATAACTTAAAAAGAAAGTACTCTGAAATACTGTGTTTACAGTTCTGTGCTGACTTAAGCATCAGTCTTACAGACTTATGTGCAGAATTTAAGACCTTACATTTAATGCCACTCTTTAGACTTTAGTGCAATTGTACAGAATATGTTTCAACAACACTTAATTTGCCTTCATCTTTCTCTTGAAAATAGTGGGGAAAAAAACATCCCAATCTGCACAGTAGTTGAAAACACAATGTATTTGAATAACTTTTCACATACAGCCTATACTGCATTATGTGCTTTTTCACAGGTAGTAGTCTTGTAGTGGTTCCATGATAACATGGCCATTTGTGTAACTGCAAGTAATAATAGTAGTGACTTAAAAGACAGAATGCAGGTTCTCTTTTTCCATGTCGTGTCTGTTGAGCTGTATTGCTCTTGTAAGCCCACCATCTTACAGTTTCATTTAAATGACTTGGACTCTTGAGTTTTGCCTTTTGTTATGGTCGAGCACATACAATATCTGTTTGTACATATGTACAGTATGTGATATATAATCACATAATGTATAAATGCACCTAAGCCTTTGCAATACATGAGTACCCCAGAAGTTGAGAGTTCAATATTAAGTTACCTTATTTGTGTCATACAGGTTACCCAACAGCAGCCCCACAATTCTTTTCAATTTGCGTTGCTGCTTCTGAGTGCAGAAATTCATTGTTAGCCATAATCAGCTATTTTGGGATAAAATATATATATACATATATATATATATATATATGGAAACAGGAAACAGTTATGCCATAGTAAATAGAACAGCATCACTTATTATGTCCTCTTCTTTACTCCTGAGCAGCTCCAATTTAGTTAAATCATTCAGGTGAAACTTTTTAAATGCTAAGGCACGAATCCGTAGAGTCCTCATGCATTTGGAAAACATCCAAATCTATGGTGACTACAAAAATATTCTTTGGAATTCAGCTACCCCAAAAACTCAGCTGAAAAATTTTCATTCCTGACTTTAAGTATAATTGCTCTTACTCCATCATCCTGGAATGCTGATCTTACCAGGGTTGCAAAAATATTCCTTCTTACACTGTGTCTGTATTATGGAAAGTTTTTAATTAATCTTGTGGTCGCTTACAATTTTGATGTCTGTAAGTACTCATACAGAACACACTTCCCTCACATATATTGAATTGTCAATTAGTTGTTCTGTTAATGTCTGAAGGTCTTGTTCCTAACACAAATTTATCCTGACCACTCAAATCATATAGCTGCTATAGTCTGGTGTCCATTGGAAGTAAATACTTCAGTTCCAATGGTTGAGTTTGGTTAATTTGTCTTGCATATAAAAGGAGGAAAATTACAACAAAAAGTTACTACCTTTTAATTGCAGGCTAAACCAACAAAAATAGCCGTCACAGCCTATGCTTTCTAAGTAAATTCAGTCTGGCTTATCACTTACGCAGTGCAGATTCAGAGATGTAAATTTTTCGGTAGAAACAAACTCAAATGAGCACTTCCAGTCAAACCCACCAAACATGGAAATTTTGAAGCTGTGTTTGAATTTCATGACTCAAGACATGTTGAGATTTAATTGTCCAAAATTCTGGACTTGTACTCATAAGCAGAGCAGAAGGACATCTGGCTTATCAAGTTAAGCTGCCAAAAGTGATTCCTCCTTGTATTTTTGTGCTGCTAAAATTGATGATGCATGGAATGGATAAGAATGCATAAAAAACAAAAACAACTAATGGACCTATTTTTCCTAGAATAGCTAGACTTTATACTCCCAGAACAACAACATTTTTATTGAAATTCCAATTGCTTTTCCTTTCCATGCCAGTAAAGAAAAAAGCCATTTGAGGCCATATCTGAGAGTTTCTAATGTATTGTGAAACAATAGCTGAAAGAGAGGTTTTAAGTGAGAAAAATAGGTGACACAGATTCTGAGATGTTGCATATTTTATAGCAGTGCTGACAGAAACTGCATTGTTTAAATTAAGCTATGAATTCTTTAAGGCAGTACAACTTTCAGCTATAATGATTCCACTCATGGCAGTAGTACTTGTATAATTAATTCTTTCATTAGAGAAATGTGATTTTTTTAGTTTTTCTTCTTAGTGGTGGGAGTATATGCTAAAATATATTTACATTGGAGGGGATGTGCAGCATGAATTTTTTTTTTTATGGGGCACAGACTTCCTTCATGTGTTTAAACGTAGAACAGTGTGATCAATTTGCTGTGACTGCATTTAGACCACTTAGTGTGAAAATTATAGAGATAGCACGTAGCACTATTCATGTTAAAGAAAAAAAATGCAGAGGTTGTTAGATGCTCAGAATAATTTTGACCCACTTGAAATAATGCATTTGCCTCAAACACTGTGATATATTAACAGTTCTGTGAAGTGGTACAACTCTTGTTCATCTACACACAGGAAGTGACTTTCTGCACACTAGTACAATGAAGCTCATGTTTAAAGCTTAGATTATATATCCCGAGCTAGCAAAGGCACATCACAACTATTCTATTCTGCTTTCTGACCAAAAACTGTGCTCGATTGTAATACGGGTGTATACTCTATGAAAAAAAAACAAAAAACAAAAATAACAGATTGCTTTCTAGAGTAGATCAAACTGATTTGTAGAGTAGATTCATATATATTCAAACTTCAGGTTGGGCTGTTATGTGAAGAAAGAACTTCAAGGTAACAACATTCAACTTTACTACATTTAGTGAGCTGAAGAAATTGTTTTATATATATATATATTTACATATATATATATATGATACATATAAACTATCTTTGTAAAAAAACAAATAGGCAAGTGCAAAATTTAAAGAGGTCTTAACTTTGC